CGGGTGTGACAAACGGGACATTCGTGATACAAAGACGTTTACAGGCAATATATATTTCCAATAAGTTACGAGTTTGCACTAAACAATACTTAAATATGTTTACTTTAATGTGGCCAAAAGTCAAATGTCGTAAAAAGAAAAAATATACCGAAAAATACTGTTGCCAGTTTGTCAATAAATTAGTGCAGCCAACAATTTCATGATACACCATGGAAAAGTATTCTTACGAAAAAAACTGGTCCTAAATTTTATCAACTCTTCATTGATATTAAAAATTATATTGTTCGTGATATCAGTTATGGTATTATTTTTGCTAAAATCTATTATTAATTTTTATCTGAGCTGGGGTCAGTTTACGTGGAATCACCCCGTAGGGTTAATTCGTATTTTTTTTTAAAGTTGCTTAATGATGCTCTGCTGCTACTCTGTACAGTTTACTTAGCTAAATAAAATGAAATGCTGGTGGATTTTTGCGGAGGTTTTTTTCAATGTGCGTTTTGTGCTTAATACTTCTATTGATCATACAGGTCATTTGAAGGTGGATAGTTGGCGGCTCTTTAGAATTGATTGGCGGTATGTTACTGCCAGTATACACCAGTGATTGGTGGTATACTGGCAAAGAAATAGGCATTGGTACTTTATGGCACCTCAAAAAAATACTTCAAATTGTATATTTACCTTTATTCTACAAAATCTGTATTTTCTCCAGTAGAAAGTTACAGGTTCAATAATATAAACAAAACAAAATCGCGAGAAAAAAGTTTTTGATGAACGGGAAAAGCGTTATATTTGATTTTTTTTTCAAATTAAAAAAAAAAACATTACAGTAGAATAGGGCATAACGCGGAGCACATCACTGAACTATTTTAATATAAAAAAAGTGGGGGAGGTTATATGGGCGAATAATTATAATTTTTGGGAATGATATTTGCTACCATATACGACTACAAAATACCAAGTTACAGTGAATTCGGTACTACCTGTTAAAGGGGTGAATATTAATAATTTTCGTGAATGGGATTTGCTACCACATACTACTACAAAATACCAAATTACAGTGAATTGGTTGAAAAATGAGCTTAACGAAAATTGGGGATATACTTATATTGAGGCTACCAGAGAAAATGTACCTATATTTATAATATTAGTGGAGAGATTTGGTATCCAATAAGAATTAGAAAAAGTAGACCTAAATTTATAATTTTTAGTGGACAAATTTGATACCCAATGCAACCAATTTTAGCGAATTCGTTTGAAAAATGTGCTCAAGAACCCCAAAATACTGAAAATTCGTTTAGAGGCTAGAGTGATTACAACGGACGTGTTATTAAATTGTCATAGAATTTTACTATCATGAATATATATATACTTTATAGGATCGGAAATGATTACAAAAGGAAAAAGAAACCGGGTATAAAAATATTAAATTTGTAGGCATTTCAATTGAGTTGCGTACAATATGTTTGACACACTTTAAATATTTCCAATATGTTATGTTATTATTTTCAGTATTAATAATTAAAATATCTTAAAAACTTTATTACATTACCCACAGATAACCCTCATATTGAAGGATCAAATTCTACATAACATGTATTTGTAATGTTTAATATTTTTTATTTATAACTCATTTGTTATTTTTATTTATTTTTAGAATTGCAAAAATACATAAAATTCTTAATTTTGGAGGAAAATACAAAAAATAGGCCTTCTCCATGTTGGGTAAATTTACATCGAACCATGTTCAGGTTTATCATCAGTATTCACGTACTGTCTCATTGAAGAAACCGAAAAAGGTAAGTATTTGAAAGCTTTGTGACGAATTTCCATAACAATTTTCCTTTTATAATATAAAAAATAGAACAATACTAAAACAGATAATTGATTTCCATTATATAGACTACCGTTATCATTATGATTTATGTTTTTTTTTTCATTGTAAGGATTATTTTTGTGTCCCCAATTAATAACAATCAATGTTGTTCAGAGTTCTAGTTATTTATTTGTGTTGTGTCATAAACAATTTATTTTCGACCATTTATATGTTGCATTGTTTTGTCCACCGACCATCCGAACATTATTAGCCTTAGGCAAGGATTAACATTGAATCCATTTATTGTGTCGTATTGTTTTGTCAGTCGTCAGTGATGTCGTTAATTTTCCACTTATAAACAACAACAATAGCATAAATACGAAAGAAATGGAAAATGAAATGTTTCACTCCCATAATTTGTCCACAATCCTGTCCAGTCATGATTTTATGGTGTTGGATAAAAAAACGTTAATATGCTTGTCCATTAATCACATTCAAATAAATATGTTTGTGTGTACATGAATGCAGTCACCTCAGTGAGTATTTTGCTGGCCAGGGCATTCCAGCGCAGAAGTATTTAATTTACTTTGATTATTTATTAAAATTAGAAGCAGAACCACCACCGGTGATTCTACAAATGAACGTTGAGTGGGTGTATGGTGCATTGAAGTGAAGTGAAAAATAATTGCATCTGAATCAGAATCAGTGAGAAATTAACTGAACAGGAGCCAGCGATGATGAAGCCATTAAAAGAAGGTGTGAATTATAGTAATTATAACGAAGTGTGTCAATCATATGGAAGTTATTAACTTACGGAAATTGTTTGATATGAAACCAAATTGATTGGAAATGAATGAAAAAGTACTATACAAATGTAAAAAACTGGAAGAAATCGGAAATAGTCGAATGTGATATAAAATAAGTAAATAACAAAATAAAAATATTGTCAAAAATATAACTGCCCCATAATGTGTATTATGAGGACATATAAATGTAGGACACTTAACCTGTCCTATACAACCAATACCACAGGTAAACGGAATACAGGACATGATATTTATCTGTCAAGAATAGGAGTGTGCGAACGTTAAATAAGATCATTAGAAATGACTGGTTACAAAATTAGGAAGGAAAATTACAGTTTATAATATCAATATACGTACATACTTTAAGGCTCGTAATAAAAGTTGAAAGGTCTTTTTTAATGTTGGAAAGTATTAGTTCTTTAGTTAGTTGAGTCTTGGACATGAAGCTCTTATTGTACATCATTAGATATGATACACAGGTATCGAATATCAAAATAAAAAGCTGTCGCAAAGTTTGAAATCTAATATTTCCATTCCATTTCGTAAGTACTTGTTTTTAAAACTATTAAAATTTTAGGACAGTATTATTAAAACGTCATTAATTACAATGTATAGAAAATAATACTATAGAAAGTGGGGTACATTCGGCCATATACAGAAAGTCCTATTTTATAATCCTTTAATATGAAAGGAAAAAAGCTATTTCTAATGGTGTGTGCTTGAAAATATAGCCTTAAAAGTCAAGGATTGAGTCACATATTAAAATAAAATATAATCTTTAGAGGATCTTAATTCAAATCAGACTGATGGAAATGATAATTACCAGGCTATGTCTATGGGTGCCGAAGCTAGGCACCCAATTTGCCTGCGGTTTAGCATTTTGAGTTTTACAACATATTTAAATATGATCATTTATTTTGGCATAGTTTGTTTGAAAGACATATTATAAGTATTGTAATAAGCCACCATCGGTAAATCGACCCACGTCAATGGTAGAGGCTGTACAATTGAGGGGGCCTTACTTGTTCCCCCGATTCGATAAATATCGATATCCAATTGTAAACAATTGTGCAAGCCAAATTATTTCTAAAAACGTTTCAGGGGTGTCGTATTCGAATCGATTAACCAATGCAATTCAAAATTTTGATTATTGATGTCTTCAACAAAGTTATTGAATTAAAGTAGTACATTTTCTCAAAGGGAATATAGTTCCTCGATATAATGTGTTTATAATAAAATTATATTTTTTTTTGCGATTTTACACCCATTTTAAGAATTAGAAATCTAGTCAGAATATCTGTCCAGGTCATTCACCAACTAGACAGAAGAATATTCAGATTTACTTCTACGTTATATTTTACAGATTATTATTGATATGTTGTCTATTTTCCTTTAAGTAGTTAACGAATTCTATGAAACCTGTCTAATGTAACCGGTAACAACAGTGTTATTTACCCCTTCCAATTGGAAGCCATTTGGAACAATATTTATTTAAATGTCGATTTTGGTATTCTATTATTTGTTATTGTATATAGATTTTCTGTAATATATTACACATGTTAATAATTCACTTTTAAAATGTTTTCCATATTCCTTGTAAAACTGAAACAGGTCACGTAAGCTACACCTGCCTTCAACTTGATATTTATATTTTTTGTGCGACACCTGACAAAACAATACGAATTATGATTTTTTATTTACAATGCTATCGAATCGTGAAATATGAAACGTTCTTCTATTGAATTCCATTGGCTCATGTAACGAAATATAGTTTTTTTTTTGCATGGCTGTTACTTATTTTGAATTTATGTTCTTTTAAGACAAAACGATGTGTAAACAACAACGACAGTACTAGCGATAAGGAAAAATTTACATTGCCTTAACCAAATTTCAAATTTTGATAACATGCAATTTAACCGTTTATCTCCGAATACAAATTTGTATTTTTTCTCTTTTTTCTCTTTTTTTATTTGGATTGCCTTGAATGAAATGCTACTCCACCTTCACATCGCTAGACAAATAAAGAACAACTGTTGTCGAGTGCAACATAAATATAAACAAAAACTACCCAAAATAATACGCAACTAGCCCAGATTCTTAGACCAAGGAGGAAATCGACAACTTGTACAACAACTTGTACGAGTTAAAAACTCAAAACGAACAACGACGCAAAGCTGTTGTTTCAGCAGCTGCCGGCTGGTTGTATGAACATCAAGGAAATCCAATTTGCCTTTTGCGGCGAATGACAACAGTCTATTCCCATTACAGTGAACGGCTAGTGGACCAACTGAACAAACAGTAGTTTTTGTTTTCCGCCACCATCACAGAAGGAGAAGGAGACGGAAGAGGAGGAGCACCACTCAGCCATCTAATATTACCAGTCATTTGGCGAAGAACGTGTCGCAACGTAAACAAGTGGGTGTGGTGGCGTTTTGCAAGAAGAAAATTACAAAAATTCCGCAATTTCGGAATATGTTGAAGCCTAAACGACAAGCCAAACAGAAACCTAAAGCAAAACCGGTAAGCCAGAAACCACAGCATCCACAACCCGCCTTCCAAACTATCCCATTCTCGGCCCTCGGTACCTTTTTGTTTTCTTTTAGTTTTGCGATTCCCTTCCTTCCACCCTTTTCATAGTCCTTGACATTTTCGACAAGAGATTATAATACAATTTCATTTCCTTAAAATTCTACAAGTATCTCCTTAATATCCTTCCCGTTCAAAGCTTACTTTGTTTTATTTCCATTTTTCGTTTCGTTTTTTTCTTCTCTTACCTTTTTCCGCCCTCTGTCGTTTGTATTTAATCTTCGTATATATTTATCTTCCCTTTACTTCCGTTCTTTAGTTCTACCTCTTCTCTATCAATATTTACTACATAGTCGTAGACGTAATGCCTTCTAAAGAAACTTACATAAATTCGTAAATGTCTTTAATAGTAAACTTAAGAGATGTATCTGTACTATGCGTGCCTGCCGCTGCCGATTGTCATCTGCGCTCGGTAGCAGACGTATAGTCGGACCAAACTAGAAAGCATCTTACAAAAAGAAATTTGTTCTCTTCTTATTTTATTTTTTTTCTTTATTCGTTTATTCGATGTGTGCAACTTGACTAACTGCCAATTCGCTTTTATTTTACTGATGTAGTTTTATTAGCGTCATTATTACCATTATTGTATTGAAGTATCTTATATCTATGGTGTATTGTATCTAACGCATAAACTGCGTACTTTAGTTAATTTCAATTCGTATTGATTTCGATGTCAAATGTATTTTTAGATTATCTCTAGTATGTCAATGTATGTATATGAGTGAGCCGCACAGTGATGGCGAACGTAAGAAATTTGATATATGTATGTGAATTTAGTTTTGAATTGTGGACCCTTTTCGGTGGTCCATGGAAAATAAATGCGAATGAAGGACAGTAGCGTAATTCGAATTTATAGTGAAATATGTGGAAATGTTTTTAATGTTTTTAAACCCTCAAATATATTTTCAAAGTTCGAGCATGGGCTCAAACATTTCACGAATTCCCCTATTTTGTGAGCATAATAATATATTGTTTACGGTCTCAAAATTACTCAATTGCGACCAAAATCACGTTGACATTTTCCAAAGATCTCGAACTCAGACCCAACGACCCTAGTATGGGCCGTAGTATGTGGATTGGAGAAGTACAAGTGCATAATAGCTAGGCGTGGGTCATATACAGGGCCATAAATTCATAAATTTGATATACTTTGAACAAACAAAAACATTTTGTTCTGCTAACAGTACATTTACATTGTACTGGATTTCGTTAATCCAATTTCATTGCATATATGCCAAATACATCCTCATAAAGTAGGTTAACCCGGTAAAATTTTCTAAGATCTGATTCAATTGAAAACATAAATGAACGATATATTCTACTTGCAAGTAACTTATTTTTCAATTTTTTTGATACAAAGGGAGATTTTTTCCATTTCTACAAACGTTAAATGTGTATGGCGTCTAAACCTTATAATAATTATTTTATAAATAAAACAATATTTTAACCGCCTATTAAATTGAAAAATCCGTTTTATGTGAGTTTTATTAATCACTTTCTTGCGACTTTGAATGCTTCTGTACTAAAGAATACTTTCCTTACACTTATAGTGTGAATTTCAAACCCACCCGCTTTTCTCAGTTTCTGTTTATTCGTTCACCAAACATCAATAAACGTCCAGAATGTGGATTGTAGATGAGCACGAGGGAAATGGTCAAAAGCGTATATTTTATAAAATATAGTTAGTATCATATTATATAAATATATATGTGCGAGCAACGACATTTTCCACCTTATTGAATTTTGTAGTCCTAAAGCATCAAATAAGGGCACAGTCCCTATGTATGAAGATTAAATTTGTAATTAGAGACGGAATTTTCCTACACCGAATACATAACTGTCTATCATTCGCATTCATTATTCATTGCTATTCGATTGCCAAAAAGTACAGATGTATAATAATATTTGGTTATCTGGCAATAATTCATTTATGTTTGTATTAGAATTTATGTGCGTATTTAAACATGATAGTAGATTATATTTATATTACTTATATCAAAAATATTTAGCGATTATTACAATAATATATAATATATGACAAATAAATGTGCTTTTGTGTGTCAGTATTAATTCAAGTGAATTCGGTGGAGACAAATATGATAGTATCCAGTTTTATTTCTGTCTTATATAGAGCTTTAATTATATATAGCTTGTACCGTTTACATATATGTCGAAACAAATAAATATTAGATTGGTGCAGTTCGCAATTATCATATGATTTAAAAAGGTCTATTAAACAAACTCAATAGAACTTCTGATCCTATGCAACAAGTGTCTTTGAAATTATGGCTTCATCATATTATCTATATCAAAATCAGGCGTATTTTCGAACATTTTATTTCATATATCATCAAAGACAGTTAATTGAGACAAACTATTTAAGGTAACGCCTAAAAGTATGCAGTGAAATAAGTATATATTCCTTTGTATGCCATATACAGTGATGGAGAAAATAATATAGGCACTAATAGTGTTTCTCATGCAGATTGTGTACTAAGAGTATAAGAAAGTATTACAATTGAAAAGTATAAATCGAATAACGTTTTATACGATTAACTAATAGGTAATTCCGATAAAGTTTCTGTTTATGATTATATTTATATACACACAGGCAAAGGAGCATCGATAATATGTTAAACAAATATTTTGCGATATTCAATCGGCATAATCAAAACCTCAAATATGCGATATTTATGTTTATAGTGCCGGGTTATTCAAAGTGATGGTCATTATGGCATTAATGGCCATTTTTCGATTGAAGGGTTTTCTTTTATTTTAAGGGCACGCCCCACATTCTCGTGGTCAAAAATTTTATTTAGTTTTTAGAATCTACACCAATTCAAGAATGTCCCTACAAAATTTCAAGTGAAAATCTCAAGAACTCTTCAATATATAGTCGATTTATTGTGTCAGCATCAAGTGACGGCTGAAAGGCTTCTCAAACTTTAAACGAAATTTCTACACGTTTCTCTGTGAGTGTATAGCTATCGTATGAACTAGGATAAAGCCAATCGGTGAAGATCATCCTTATTTTTTAACTAGGTTTTTGGTCAAAAATCGGCGATTTTCCAAAAATATTTTTTCAAAGGTTCGCCATTTTGTTAATTTTAGAGCGAAGTCAATAATCCTAGTTCATACGAGAGCCAGACATGTAGGGGAGACTGGGGCACCTTCGGCATCGGGGCACCTTCGGCATCGGGGCACCTTCGGCAATCGCGTTTTCGATATGAAGCTCTCACCGTACATCACTAGTTTCGATACATAGGTATCGAATATCGAAATAAATAACTGACACAAAGTTTGAAGTTTCTAGCTTATAAGCTTATTTAGATACGTGGGGTTATGTATTTTTATAGGTGTTTCTGTAATATTTCAATTCCATTTCGTAAGTATTTCGTATATAAAACTTTTAAAATTTTTAAGACAATATTATTAAAAAGTGGTTAACTACGATGTGTATTATTATAGAAATATTTAAAAATATAATGTTTTTACAAAACTGATCGAAAAAAATGAAAAAAAACTATAAAAGTCCATTCGGGGTACATTCGGCATTTTAAAGTGGGGCACATTCGGCCATATACAGATTGTGCAATATTATTTCCTTAAAATGTTTTTGAGTTTGTCTTTAAAACTAATCCTTTAATATAGTTCGAAATTGCATATATAAGATCAAACGTGCTTGTATTGACGAAAATGCGATAGAAAACCCCTATTTCTGATGGTGTGTGCGACCTTGAGATGTAAACGTCCGCCGCTCGAAAATAAAGCCATATAATTCAAACATTGTGTGGCGTATTAAAACCAAATAGAGCCTTTAGAGGATCAGAATGTCAACCAGACTGATAGCGATGGCAATTACCCGGCTATGGCTATGGTGCCGAATGTGCCCCATCAAATGCCGAAGCTACCCCGGAATGGGGCACATTCGGCGAATTTGACTTTTTTTACAAAACTGTAAAATTTTTTAACTAATACAATGTTTTTATATCTTTTTGGTACTATTTTTTATAATTAAGTGTCAGAGGACAATAATCAGCCATAAAGTTGTTATATATGTTGAATAAGTACTGAGATATAGAGCTCTAAAAAAAACGTGCCGAAGGTGCCCCAGTCTCCCCTACTCTTTCTAACACCGTTTTCAGATTTCGATGTTCCAGTGAGTAGTTATCATGCCCGCCATCAAAAATAAGGACTTTTATTTAATTACAAAAAACAACAACAAAACAATTACAACAATTTTTTGTAAATTATTTTTCTTCTCTTCTAAATCTTCAAATATATATGTGCAAAGTTGAAAAGGATGAAAGGAAATCGTTTTGCTACAATTGAGGAGTTAAATGAAAACAATTGAAACATATGCTGTGTTTCGAGGTTTGCATACAACGCTGCCATAAGTGTATTATATCTGAGGGAAAATATTTTGAAGGTGACCAGATAGTTATTGATGAATAAATAAATATTGAAAAAAAATTAAATGACATTTTTTATCAGACCTCGTATAAACTTGCACGTACCATAATTTTTTTAAGATCAAAATATCAGCAAAAATTTTCAGGGGACTCGTTTTATTCGATATAGCACAAAAGCCGTTCGTTATTTTCATGCTTTATATATTGTAAAAAATAAAGCATTGTTTTCTTCAGTGTCTACGTTATGATAACGCTATAAAACATTTGTGTGTGTTTATAATTATTTCTATATTTTTGTATAGTTATTACGTACGTTTCTTGAGAATTGAATAGCCGCTCTTTTGTAAGTGTTTTTGTATTGAATGTTATTAATGAACTCCCTTTCGAATTACGTAGATGTACATTTATTATGATGTGGTTAAGATTTTCGAATGTGGCATAGTTACGCTAGATAAAACTATAATTTATACATTTGCATATACACCACATTTTTAAATTAATCTAAAAAGATTCTAATTTTAA